TTCATAATATAACCTTTTATCATCTGTAGTAGTGTCAGCTCTGATTTCTGATAGTGGGAGTTTTTGTCTATTACAGTGTTCCCCAGTATATGTCTAGGGTACATGTCTTACACTCATTTTATCATCATTCTTCAAGGAAAATTTTTTTCCACATATTTTTTCTCTATTATGTGTTCTAGTTATAGTGATGGTTGTTCTGATCTTTATTTCACTTTTCTGCTTACTTTCAGTTTCTCATGGTGATTCTAGCGTCTTATCATGGACAATGGTGTCATGTAGACAGTTCTTTCCTAATAGAGGCATAAAATTCCATCCACTATAATTTTACTGCCATCCTATAATGTTGATATGCATTTAAATTTTTACTCAATTCAAAATGCCTTCTGATTTTCCTTTGGGTATATTCTTTGACCAAGAATATATAGAAGAGAATTGATTTTCAAATACTTGGGGGTCTACAGTATCTTCTTAATGATTTTTAACTTAATTTCATTGTGACCAGAGACTTTACTATACATACTTGAATTCTTTTTGATGGTCTCAAGAAGCTAAGGCAGAGCCGGCCAGATAGATCAGTGGATGACAGGGGTTTGATTTCTGGAGTGCTGTGCCAGTCCCACTCCCGGGGCACACTGAGATGGTGACTGAGACTGGGCGTGGTGGCACTTGCCTGTAATCCCAGCACTTAGGAGGCTGAAACAGGAGGCTCACTGTGAGTCTGATCCATGTAGTGAGATCCTGTAGACCCTGTACTAAATGCATAAAAAACATCCCTAAGGCATATTAAGGCATATGATGTAAAATTTATCAAAGGATAGAAAAAGAATTAATGATTACAAAAATAAAGTATGTGGATTGACTCAGTAGTCAGGCATTGCAGAGGCTGGGAAGCAAGCATGTCTTTTTTTGTAACAGAGGGGAAGGAATGATCTGTGTGTGGTGCGCACGTGCGCATGTGTGAAAATATGTGGGGTGGCTCTTCTCTAGAGTATTTATCCTCTCACTGAAGAGTGAGAGGGGAGGTCATCAGCCAGAACAATGGCTTTGGGGAGTGTCTTAGTTACTTTTCTGTCATTGCTGGGACAAATACCTGACACCCAGAATCAAGGAAGAAAGGTCCACTTAGCTCAGTTAGTGGAGGCTTCAGTCCATACTCAGCTAGCTCCAAGGAAGAGCGGCTCATGGCAGAGGGCAACCTTTCATGGTGATGGAAAACATGAAGAGTGAAGAGCAAAGGGAGGTGCCACAACTGCGCTGCTAGCTAGCCTTTCTCCTCTCTTTATATTGTAATGTAGATTATCTTCCCCAAGGTGAGTATAGCACTCACACCCATAATCTGAACATTGCATCATGGATTAATCACAAACTCTAGAAGCCACCCCATGACTACATAAGGCTTTGAGGGGGACAACTAGATACAAACCCACAGCGGTCTGATGAAATGATATTCATATCTCAGAGTAGGAAAGTGAAGCTAGTAAGGAATTACATAGCATTAGCTAGCACAATAGTGGTCCATGAGGAATTTTGATTGCAAATCTCACAAGTGCCACTGTATTATTTCCTGTCTAGATGTCTACCTGCTCATGCAGGCCAGATGTGGTGACCACAAGGGAACTGTGATAGCATTAGGGTATTATTCTGAGCTATTTTTCAGCTGTTTCTTCACTGCAGAAAATTGGTAGCTATTTATGAGTTCTGGCATAGTACAGATAATTAATTAACTTTCTTTATACTAGAGGAGTTTTTATCTTCATTTGAGTTCAGGTCAACATTCCTTTATTGTGTATGCCCTGTATGGCTTTTATATAGGTGTTCTTTCCCAAAGCCTCATGTGTTCATAGATGGGGCTTTTTGGAGGTGGCTTGGTCATGGATACATGAATGTGGGTGGATTGTGTGTACACAAATACAGATCAAGGATGGTCACTCGATTGCTTTGGCCTTGTACTGGGTGTGGGTAATGGGAAGCCCTGGCCTGGGATGGAAGGCACAAGTCAAGAGGCTTTATAGCCTAGGTGGAATATAAGAGGAAATGAAGGCAGGCAGGCGCGCCGCTCACTACTTGGTGCTCTCTGCTTTCCCTACTATGGACTGTTCCTCTTCTGCCATGCTGTCCTGGTTTGGAGCCAGCCCACTACAGACTGAAACTATTACAAAGTGTGAACTGAAATAAATCTTTTCTCCTGTGGCTTGTGGCTGGTGAGTATTTTTGTCTTAGCAATGGTAACTAAGAGAGCACCTGGACATTTAGCTCCCTCCCCACAGTACTGGGGTTTGAATCTGGGGCTTTTGTTTGTTTGTTTTTTTTTTTGTAGAACCAGGGATTGAACTCAGGCCCTTGTGTTGCCAGGCAAGCATTTATTCTACTGAGCTGTCTCCCTGGCCCCAAATCTGGGGCTTTTGAACTGCCAGACCTTTTCATTATTTTTAATTTTGGGAAGAGTCTCCTTAAGTTGCTACATTGCTTAGGTTGGACTCTAGCTTCCAGTTGTCCTACCTCAGCACTTGAGAGTGCTGGGATTACATGCATGCACCTCCACACCTGGATTAGTTGTTCCTTAATCTTTCATATCATGAGAATATCTGTATACAATGTTCAATATGAGGTCACTTTTATATCTATATGACACTCATCTGTTTCTTTTTGTGTGTGCTTTAAACAATTTATTTAACTGAAATGGACTTACATTTGGAATGAGGATTTTTTTTTCTCCAAGTGCCTTCAGGGCAGGTTTGGCTGACTTGAGTTGTGGGGATTGAACCCCAGCAGCCTGAGCCTGACTGCTTTGTTGAAGCAGCCACTTAAAGAACTGCGCTAAGGGGCAGGCCCCCAATGGACTTACATTTGTTTCTTTCTTTTTTTTTATTTTTAATTTTTATTTATTTGTGTGTGTGTGTGTGTGTGTGTGTGTGTGTGTGTGTGTGTGTGTGTGTGGCCAGCTCAGCCCACCAGGGGGCGGGGCTGGCTGGCATGTGGTGCTGGGGGATTGAACCGCGGTCCCTGTGCTTTGCTAAGCTTGTTCTAAGTAGGTGCTTTAGACCACTGAGCCATCTCACCAGCCCCCATTGCATTTGTTTTTGAAGTGATTTCCATTTATTATGATGCATCTTTTCCCCACGATGATTTACAGGATCTTCAAACCAATATAAATATTTTATAAATATTTGAATATTTGGGAATATACCTGCACAATACCTCAGCAATATTTTTCAGCAAGAAAAACACTGAAGAGTAAAGACTAGACATAATTACTAGGTACAGTGAAGTGAAAATCTGCTGTAAATATCTCTGAAGTAAGAAGGCACCACAAACCTGTTCAACTAAAAAAACCATCCTTACAACACAAATAAAATAAAATACAATATTACAATACAAAGAAAAAAATTATTTTACGTAAGACGTAGACCACTTAAACTGCCAATTAGGTGCTGAATGGCAGAGCAACGTCCCCAGTTTATGCCATGAATTCATAGGGAATAGGTTCCAGCAACTCAGGTTCCTTCCCATTGGTCCTCACAAGGTGTGCTTCTCTGGGAGGGGCAGGCTGGCGTTTCAGCTGAACCCAGGTACCTTTCTCTTTGGCTTCCTTCTTTTTCTGATCATTTTCCTTGACACATTCCAGAAAGCTATCACGACTTTTTGAGTGTTTAATATGCTCAATACGCACATTAATCCTCTTGGCAAGTATCTTGCCCCTAACTTGCTTGTTTATAACAATACCAACAGCATGCTGGGTAACACTGTGGACTCTTCCCGTTTTGCCATGGTCACATTTGTGAGGCATTCCTTTTTGCACAGTACCCATTCCCTTGATGTCTGTAATATCACCCTTTGTGTAGATTCGCATGTATGTGGCCAAAGGAAAAACCCCAAGTTTTCTAAAAGGCCTGGAAAACATACTGGGTTCCCCTCCTCTTGCCCTTTGTGTTAGTCATTTTGGCAAATTATGGAAAATGGCAGTTCCGGCCCAAAGCTCATCTTTTTCTTTAAACTTTTTTTTTTTTTTTTTTTTTTTTTTTTTATTTTGGAGACAGGGTCTCACTATATAGTCCAGGTTAGCTTTGAACTTATGGTGGTCCTCCTGCCTCAGCCTCCTAAGTTCTGGGACTGGAACTTTTATTTTAGGAGCAAGATTATCCTTCAGAGGAAGAAATAAATCCTTAGCAATACAGGTGGAGTACATTTTCTGCCCCCATCTCCACCCTAGTTCTTTGAACTTAGAATGCTTTCTTTCAAGCACTTAACGAAGCTAGGTGTTATTAGGGTGATAAGGAAACATAGCTCTCTAATTCAGCTCTACATTTCCAAAATAGCTCTTGGTTTATTGCAGTCTTGACCTAGGCATTTTGGTCTTCTGTTGGTATGTGTTTAGAAGAATAAAGTAATTTGGGCTGGGGAGATAGCTCAGCAGTATAAGCCCCTGCCTGACAAGCAGAAGGTCCCAAGCTTGATCTCCAGTACCAAAAACAACAAAAAGAAACCCCTCTAAAGTAACTTGAAGAAAATGAACACTTTTATTTAAGTGTGAACACTATAAGTGAAAAATAACAGTCCCATCCTTGTTTTCTGTGATTTGGTAGAGAGTGAGAAACACCATGGCAGTAGAAGCTTTGCCCTGCATTCTGGGATCCTGGGAGAGGAGCAGACCAAGGGCACATTGCCTGATGCCCCTTGGAGCCCAGAAAGGTGACAGGCACTAGACATGTGTGGCTCTTGACCACCTGGGGGTGTTGACCTGACAGCAGGCCTTATGCCCTCACATAATGTGTAGTCATGTGGCAGGCACTGTTTTCAGCACCTTATATATATATATATATCACCCCAGGACTCTCATCCCCTTTGAGTGAAAGAAACTGAGATAGCTAGAGGCAGTCACCTTGCCTACGGTAAGGCAGTCAGTAGGCAGATGGAAGAATTCCCTTTGACTTCTATTTCTTTTTGGTTTTTGAGACAGGGTTTCACCATGCAGTTCAGGTTGGTCTTGAATTCACTTTGAAGCTCAGGCTGGCCTCATACTCACAGTAATCCTCCTGCCTCAGCCTCCTGGGTGCTGGGATTAGAGGTGTGTACTAACACGCACGGCCTTATGATTTTTATGTCAATGCTGGATAGTGAATTCAAAGTCTCATGCATGATAGCAAGTGTTCTGCTGCTGATCTATACCCCGGCCCTTCCTTATGTTTCAAATTTTTTTCAAAAACAGAAAAGGTAGGAAAAAATAGTTTACTAAATAGCCAAGTAAACACCAATGTCTGGAGACGTTGAATATGGTTCATTCTCTGCATGTATTTTGCAGAAAGATGGGCATAATGCAGGCCTCATGATGCTTCATCCCAACACATGCAACATGTTCTTACCCGGGGTCCTAACAATTGTTCTCTTATCTCAGAGCCTCAAATGGCCAACTGCTCCATCTAAGCACTATTCATATACCAAATGTGTTGCCTTTGGCTGTCTTCCACAATGACTTGGGCTTAAGGGAATTAGGAAGCTGCCTTTGTCCTCCTGGTTCTCTCCATTTTCCAAGACATTGGTAACCTCGAGCCCAGGTGTCACATCCAGCTCTGGTCCTGGGTGGTCATGGGTCTGGTTTCCTGACACAGCACAGCAGCTCCGAGTTCCTGCTACAGACTACAGGGCACAGAGAGCCGAAGGTAGCACTGTGTGTGTCTTCTGAGTTTGCTGAGCCCTGAGCCACACTGTCCCTCCTACTGACCTCCTGTTAATGCTGATTATACCTTGAGATGGAGCTGGGTCAGCATGAAAACAGCCTGCAGAAATGGGATTCATAAAGCACTATTTAATCTATTGATTTGAATTACTTATCTCTAGAAATTTTCCCTTTATCTCCTTGTATCACAGAGGACACCAAAAGAATTTCATACAATTAGTATTCACTTAGTGAGTAGCTTACTCCAATAAATTAGTAGCAGATTAGGACTTGGATGGTGATTTTTTTTTTCTTGGATAGGGATATCCTGGACAGTTTAAATGTGCTTTGGGTTACATCAGCCCATAGTACAAAATGTAGCCACAGGTGGAGGTGTGAACTGAGTTCACCATTGTTTGAGTTTTTTCTCTGAAATAAACTGCCCATGAGGCCCCTCAGAGTCTGGGGGCAGCAGAGCCAAGTATACAGGAGTCTCAGCTCCTTCTTCAGTACTTTTGGGGGCTGTGGGTCCCGCCATGTCGGTTCTCACCCACCCTGGGCAACAGGCATTGAGCAGGATCTTGTCCCCTCTTCTCTCCTCACTCAATTTCCAGGCGTGGATTCTGGACAGAGCTGTGACACCGATCTTGGATACTCCATATGTAGAACTGGGCCAGCCCTCCTTCTCCTGCACCCCGTTGCTTACATCTTCCACAAACTTGTTCATCAGCCCCACCAGCTCCTCCTCAGTGAGGGTCTCACTTCTAAACTTCTGCTGCAGCTCTGGGCTGCACTGCTTAAGGGTGCTGAGACTCAGTATGCTTGACACATTCACCACTCTGCCTAAAACACACCAGATGTCCTTAAGAGAGGTATACTCAAGTACAGTGAAGAACAAATTTGCTGGAATTTTTAGAGTAAAAATTTCTCTTTCAAAGACATTAGCAAGAAGGCTTTTAAGAGGAATACATGTAGTTGGTGAGGTGGTTACATGAGGAATTCCATTCCAGCCTTCAAGTTTGGGGCAGGTGACATTGAAAACAGGGGCCCTTTTAGATCCTAGTGAGCACTAGCTGAGAAGCGGTAGAGAACTCGGTAGGAGGACAGGATATGAAACAGGACAGGAGTTAAGAGTAAGCTGTAACACAAGCTTTGCAACCTAAACTACAACATTAATTCTTTTGAAAAGTGACTGGTTGTCTGTAGGGGTATGTTTAGTGAGTTGTTGGTCACCTGCTGCCTATGTATGTGGAAAAAGTGTTAGAAAGTTTACAGTGAAAGAAACACAATAAGATGTGAAGAAGACAGAATATGTTGATGGGAGATAAAACAAGCCCAGAGCTAGACAGGGCAGACTATGGAGATCACTGTGTACCAGGCTAAGGGCTTGCAGTCTCTCCCAAGGGATGGTGGGTTGGGGTATCCAGGCAGACAGTATATACAGAAAAAGGAACACCTCAAGGATGAAGGGCTCTTAGGATGTTTGTAATGTGCAGTTTGACAGCTGACTGCCTATTGTAGGGCTGGGGTGATCCAGAGCCTGAAGTCACGGGGACAATGTCAGGACCAGCTAAGTGAATACGAATATGCAGAGCAAAGTGACCAGCAGGTTGCTGGTGAGTGGTTGAGATGATTTCGGGAGAGGGCAAGCATTGTCCAGATATGCCTGTTTCACACTGAAGAGCAACCAGAGACCATGGAGAGGCATGGAAATGAATATGTGTGGGGACTCTGGGAGTGTTCTAGCCACTGAGTGTTGGGGTCACCTGAGGGAAAGCAGTTCCACTGAACTGGTGTCAGGATGGGGCTACGCGACAGGAAAGAATCCCAAGAGTCTCTAACATGTGAGTGGGGCAGAATTAAGAGCTTATGTGAGGAGCCTCAAGACTGGAAGGATCAGGAAGAGGCAGGTATGCAAAGGGCAGGGAGACACAGTGCACCAGTGGCCCAGGGAGTGAGGACACAGCAGCAGAACTGCACCTGTAGGCCTGGAGACACAGCAAGGAGGCTGGTGCAGTGGCAGCTGCAGAGGCAGTGGAAGCAGGGTCTGGAGATGAGGCCCCAGGGGTCAGGGACAGGTCAGCCCAGACTCACCTTGGGGTCTTATTAGAGGGAGCAGCTCTGTGCTCACATTCCAGGTTCCAAAAAAGTTTATTTTCATGGTTATTTCTGCTTGAATATGAAAGGGTACAGGATCTGTCTCTTTTAGGAGAGAAAGACAATAGATTTAATGAATTGTAGACTTTGGGTGGATTTCATTAAAATAAAACGAACAAAACCCACCAGTTTGTATGAGTTCTGCTCACTTCTAAGGGAAATCTGTAGTTGTGCCAGCACCAGTCTCCTAGGTTAATAATGTCTTCCTGTTTCTGTACTATGGCCACGTGGGAGGCTGGGTGAAGATTGCCTAGCAATGTCTTCTGTTTATTTCAAAGTGAGTTTAAAATCTACCCAAATGACCCGAACCTTGGTCACACATGACCTATGTTCAAGAGTCTGGGCTAGGCAAGCACAAGGCCTGGAACGACTCCAAGTCCCTGTGGGCTCTGCTCCTGCTGCAGCCCTGGTTCTGCTGCACTTCCTAGGGCTCCTGTTCGGCATCCCACAAAGCCAGACGGCTCCCACCCCAGCGCTGCCCCTACAGGCACAACGCCAACTCCTTACTCCTAAAGGCGACGCCCGCGTTGTTGACCAGCACGTCGAGGCCCCCATACTCCTTGCGCAAGAAGTCGCGCAGGGCGCGGATGCTCTGCAGGTCCGTGACGTCCAGCTGGTGGAAGCGCGGGCTCAGCCCCTCAGCCTGCAGCTGCTGCACCGCCGCTCGGCCCCGCGCCTCGTCCCGCGCTGTGAGCACCACGTCCCCCGGGAACCGCCGGCAGAGCTCGCGGGTGACAGCGAAACCGATGCCCTTATTGGCCCCGGTCACCAGCGCCACGCGGGTGCAGGACGACATGGTTCGGAGCAGTTGGAAAAAGTAGGGTGGACAGTGAACAGAGCCAGCCGGAGCTGCACTGAAGTACCAAAAGTCCGCGGGTCACGACCGCTCCAATCCTGGAAAGGGTGGAGGATTGAGGGCGCAGGCGCAGGCCCCTCCCCTGGTCGGGCGTGGCTGTCGGGCCCCGCCTGTGACTTCCAAAGGGGACCGATCTCAAGGACATTACTCTCAGTTGCAGGTTTTAGTGTTTCTAAAAGTGACGGTGAGTCCTCATTGAGGTGTACTTAGTAAATGAAGGTGCACCTGCAGGCTCATTCCTTGCCTAAGTACTGGAGCAGTTCACAGGGTAAGACATAGTGTGTTGTGTGCATTTTGTTAGAAGCGTCAATGAGCCTAGGGGTATGGGGACATACTAAGGGGAGCCCCATGAACTTCCCTGAGGCCTTGGGCTTTTTCTGGAGAGTTGTGGGAGAGAAGTGCACAGGGTTGACAGTGTACAGAAATCTGGGAGGGGAAAGGCAAAAAAAAAAAAAAAAAAAAAAAAAAAAAAAAAAAAAAAAAAGCTAGCGAATCAAATTTCTGTTAATTTATTGGCTAAGTAAATAAAGTTACTGGCTTGCCCTGGCCAGGTTTTCCAAGAATGGTGGGAAACATTTACTAAGTCACCCCAGGGTCAGCATTCTTGAGCACCCTGCAAAATCTTCAAAGACTCTCACTAGGAAGAATTAAGAAGTTGGGGACCCGGGATATAGCTCAGTGGTATAAGTGCCTGCCTGACAAGCAGAGGTCCTAAATTCAATTCCCTATACAAAAACAAAACAAAACAAAGCAAAGCAAAACAAAACAAAACCACCACCATAAAACCCATTTGAAAAACCCAGGATGGAAATGAGTTTTCTTCCCTGCTTATTGTGTACTGCAATACAACAGACTATAAGATAAAGTTTTAGTTCTGCACTGTCTCCTAAACATTAGCTACAAGTGGCCATTGAACTCTACATTTAAATTAAAATAAATGCAATTCAAAATGCAGTCTTTGATGAAGTGTTTGTTGTTCACACAACAGTTGTCAGTGGCCACTGTGTTCTGTAGTGTAGGATATTTACTTAGGCAGTAAATCAACAGAGTTTGATTCCCTAACTGTAGGAAGCCCCTCCTGGTCTTTGTCTCTGTCCAAGAAGTCTATATTTTTAATCCCAAAAATACATTATTGGAATTCCTCCAAGTTAATTCCAATCTACCACTCCCAGTGTAACCCATGGCAAAAATAAAGACATTAAAGTGTATTTATAATTATGGGGAGCCAAGGGACCCTAAGTCCAACCATGAAGATGGCTTTGCAGAAAAAAGAGGCTGACCCAGGGCCTCATCCAGGTTTTATTCAGTCATGAAGGAGGAGTAGCTTGAGGATGAATGACTGAGAATTGTGGGAAGCGGGTGAGTACTGTGAGCTGAGCTAGGTAGGTGGCCTGCATTTACTTCTGTCATATGCAGAGAAAAGGATATGCAGAAAAAGTAATTTGCATTATATTATTGAGATAGTATCTAATGTTTGGGGGCCTGGTGCTTCAGTTGTGATGTGTAATCTTTCAAGCCCAGGAAGTCATAGCTTCTATCTCGAGGCTCGATCCCAGCCGACAGCATGGAGCACTGGCTCTTTGTCCTGTCTTTACCTAGCTCATATTTAAGAGCAGCAGGTGTGGGTTATCAGGGAAACACACATACCATTTTCAAAGACTACTACCAGCACCTTGGCTAGACCAATATGCATTGCTTAAAGCCAGTCTAAGGGATAAGGAAAACTCCTAACCAGCTTTGTACATATCACTACAAAGGAATAGAGTTGGGTACTGGGGAGATGGCTCAGTAGAATAAGTGCTTGCCTGGCAAGTGCAAAGACCTGGGTTCAATCCCTGGTTAGGGGTGGGGAGTATCTTATGAAGAAATAGGGTGGGGCTCAGCCAAAATGAAGAGGATCACTCTTCTTTCAAGGAGAACTGCTCAGGTGGTCCTCCACACCTAACATTTTTTCTTGATCCTTTTCCTCTCCCAGATTTCTGTATACTGTTGCCCTGTGTCCATCTCTCCCAGAATGCCTCAGGAGAGAGCCCAAGCCTTCAGTGATATTTCTTCAATATTTTGGATATTTATCCATCAGTGGAAGTGATTTTTTTGCACAACCCTGTTTTTTATATATTCCAATTATGTTACCATTTCAATGTAAGTTTTCAGTCAGGTTTATAAATAAAAGTTACTGATCAGGAAAAGACCATTACTGCTTCTCCACTGAAATGTTTGAGATATTACAGATGTAGTTGTAAGAAACAAATTAAAAAAATAATTTTATTGAGAAAGAAGTAGTAATGAGACAGTTTCAAAACAGGTTCTTAGTATAGTTACAATAATACATTGCATATTGTTTTTGTAGTAGTTATTCATAGTACGCGATGCAGACATAATATCTTGTCTAAGCACTATTAGTTCAAAACTTTTTCTCATTGAACCAAGAGAAAATAACTGTATATTTATGCTATTTTGTATATACAGTTATATGTATATATTTTTTTCTCACTACAAAATGGTCCTTCATTTATATCCCCTTTTTCTGTTTAGTTTTGTCAGAGATGAGTATTACATTGCCATTTAAATATTGTAGATGCATAAATTCAGCAAAATAATCCAATACAGTCCAGTAGTTCATAATAGTAGTGTGTTATCCATAGGACTGGCAGTGTCAGAAGTTGTTGACTTCAGCCTTTTATAGCTCAGCATATTAAAATGGCTTTACTTTTTATACCTCATTTTTATACTTTTCTATTGGATGGTTAAGACCAAGATAAAGCAACTCCTATATAAAAAAATGTAACTTGTATCTGACAAGGTCAGTCAAATTCTCTCAGGATTTACCCTGATGTCCTGTACAGCAGTTTATAGATCTTTTGTCAGTGTCAGCCATGTGGATAAGTCAAGGCCATTGCTTGACCAATCTGCTCTCTGTGAAAGCTTGAGAGAATGTTTTCTCTCCTTGTGACTCTCCTTAGCCACACTCTACATTGTCAATCACTTTCCTCTGTGGCCCCATGATCTCCTTGATCAGAAAATTTGGGACAAGACTGAGTTATATGATGTTACAGTACAGGTTCTCCTGTGTCCTGAGCCTTCACTGACCTTGAAGGGCTAGGGCCAAAATGTTGGCTATCCTTGTAGCCCTTCTTTTTCTCTAATTTTTTGGTCTGCAAACTTAAGTTGTTAACCCCCAGAAGAGAAGCTTAATGATATTGTTACCCTAGAACATAGGCTGTTGAGCTTAACATCAGTATCTGTCTGAATATCAAACCCCCTAGACATAACATGGATGAAGTATTTTCTGTCAGTTGTTCATATGCTAAACTTTATTTATTTATTTGTGAACTGGGAATTGAACTCAGGCCCTTGTGCTTGCCAAGCAAGTGCTTATTCTACTCTGGGATGGAGTTATCTCAACATGAGAACAATATTCATGAAAACAATAAACAACATTCAGAATCAGGCATTGTGAAAGAACCTTTGGTTACTCATTTCATTCATATTTCCAGCAACTTTACTTTTTCTCTTTCTCTATCTCAAAGGAAACCACAGAAGACATGATAGAATTAACAGCTATTTGGTGAAAAATGTACACTATTAGTAGTTTATTTGTACTGAGCTCCAGCCAGATAGCGATATGTTGATTTATGTTTTGCATGGGGATATATTAGACAGTGTAAATGTTCTTTGGGGTCATATCAAACCATGGTACAAAATGGGACCCTGCACTCACCACTGTACAACATTTTTGTTCTAAACAAACTCTCCGTGGGGGTCCTTGACATCTGGGGGCAGAAGGGACAAGTACACAGGGGTCTCTGCTCCTTCTAGGCTTTTGAGGGCTGACGGTCCTGTCATGTCAGTTCTCATCCATCCTGGACAGCAGGCATTCAGTAGGATCTTATCCCCTCTCTTCTCTTGACTTAGTTTCCTGGCATGGATTCTGGACAGGACCGTGACCCCAATCTTGGACACCCCATATGCAGAGTTGGGCCAGCCTTCCTTCTCATGGACCCCATTCATTGCATCTTCTACCAACTTGTTCATCAGCCCCACCAGCTCCTCCTCAGTGAGGGTCTCACTTTGAAACTTCTGCTGCAGCTCTGGGCTGCAGTTTGGAAGGCCCACGAAAATCATCCTGCTGGACACATTCACCACTCTACCTGAAATAAGTTACAAGTCCTTAAGGAGAAAATTGTACACAAGAACCATGAAAAATGTGTTGGAATTTTAAAACACACAGTTTCCATTTGATACACAAATGGGTATTTGCTTTTTAGAAGAAATCCACATGGATGGTTATGTGGATGGATTTGGAGCACCTTTTGTACTTCACTTTTGGCAGGTAGAAGAATCACATGACACTGCAAAGACTTGCCCTTTGAGATCTTAGTGAATAGGCTTAGCAGTAGAGTAATAGAACTTTTAGGAAAGACTGGCTGGGAAACAGGGTAAGCTCTACCTGCAAGTATTCAAGTATAGACTGCAAGAATTAGTTTTGATAAAAGTAACTGTTTGTTTTTATTGGTGTGTTTTAATGAGTGGTGGTTTACCTGTGGCCAAAATTATGTGGATTGAGTATTAGAAAAATTTATGGTGAAAGAAACAGGCTAGTTTTTTATGTGCAGCACATGTAGCATCTTGATGTGGAGGTAAAATGAGGAAGAAGCCAGGTGGGGGAGATTTAAAGACATCCCTGCAGACCATGCTAAGGGCTTGGGCCTTGATATGAAGGAGTGTTGGTGAGGAGTAGGCAGGTAGACAGTATCAACAAGGGAGGAATCATGGAAGGGGTTAGAGGTGTGCCATTTGGTAGCTGAAGGTCTGTTGTAGGGCTTAGAAGAGAGGGACTCAGGAGACACTCAGTGGGCATGGTCTTAAGATGTGATAAGGATTGGGTAGGGCAAGGTGACCACCATGATACTGGTGGAGGTTTTCTGGCAAAGAATGAGTATTTTCTGAGAATGTGTGTTTATGATTAGGGACATCAGGGGGAGCTTCAGAGCAAGAAAATGAATATATGTGGGGTTCTCTGGGAATGTTCTTGGCAGAT